GACAGCACATATAATCCATTGTGTGTCAAAATCACATATTTCTTTTATTAGTGTGGGGGTTACTGAGGTTTACGTACATTTAGAAGTGAAGCTAACTTTGCCAAACGATTTTAATTCAAATTGGCTACCACTTATGTAGTTTTGACCACTTACATTTTACTTAATTTTAGTAGCAACCTGGGATCTTTGACAGTAGACCTAACCTCTTAGTGGATTAAAGCAAGGTATTATTTTGTCTCCACTATAAAAAAAAGGAGGCGTAATAATGTCACAATTTTCACATCAGTAGCCTGTTGCACAAATGTGACAGTTGTTGTTGTTGTAATGGTTATCTAGTCACTGTTTGGGCGGTAAGATTTAGATAAGTTGTCGTTGAAGTTATCCAACGGTAAGGGCAGGAAACGAGCTGATGCGACGGAATCGGACCATAGGGAGAGGGGCGTCAAATGGGTAATGTTAGCTGGTCATGCAAAGAGGTGGTTAGAGCGGGAATTCGTTGAATGCTGGACATATATTTGGTATGTCGTAGTGGATTCTGGATAAGTTGGAGTTTAACCTGCTACGTTATACAGAACGAAGCTTTGCAAGGGATCACTCTAGCTTCTCGCGGCTGCTCGAGCTCGTCGTCTGCAATGGGTGGTTCAAATCACCATCTCCAAGTAAGCCATTCACTGAGAGGAGGAAGTCGGATCCACTGTGAATGGCCATCAATGCTTGTCCATGTTTCTTTGTCCGAAATCTGATCGGTGTGCTATCTGATGTCGTTGACGTATTTAAGGAAAGACCTCTTGATGTTACTAATAGCCATTTCCGTTTCAAGCAGGCGACTGCAGGTATGGTTTTCACAAAAACACCCCGGCAGAAACTACTTGGGGAGGAGTTAATTATGTTCCTTAACCGAAAGCATACGGGCCTCACAGTGTACGTGTTCGATCGGAGGCATCAAGAGACATCCCGTTATAGTCCAGAGTGCAGTGATCTCGCATCTCTAAAGCTTCTTCGTCTTCTTCTTTCACTGCATCCAGGCGACCATATTGAGGCAGCATAGTTAATAACCGATCGGCCGATTGCCTTGTATGTTTGCAACAAAGTTTCATCGTCTTTTCCCAACAGAGCGGGTATTGTTTGATGTCATCAAGTAGCGTTGTGTGGTTGACTGTGTCAACTTTTTGCTTTTGATAGCTCTAACACTACGAGGATCGTCCTCTGACAACGAAGTTTTTGGTTGAGGCCCATCTGGGCGTTTATTACGCTAAGTGCTGTGATGGGACTGTGCACTTTAAAGAAACTATGTTGGTGTTTTTCTAGATTCAGTTGGTTAGTGAATAACGGGGGAGACTTATCGGGCGGGTTATCCAGATTACAGTTGTGGACCACTCCTTCGATTTTCCACTCCATCGATTAGGGACAGGCTGAAGCTCTTGGATAGGTAGTTTACTACCGTCAATCCTAGGTTTTTTTTCTATTTCGCTTTATTGGCAACACTATGAACATCCTCAACGATAAAAGTTAGTGGTGCACAATTTTTCATCATCAGAGGCATGGTGCTCGTATTGAATTTCAACACGGTCATCAATGTTAGATGTTAGATAAAGCCTTGGCAGTAGTCCAAAGCTTACACACGGCGGTGGAGAGGTTGCATGACTTCTCTATCCATTTTTTTCGCTTATGTTGGTTTACTATTTGCCGGTTCCACAAATTGCAGTAACTTAGTCGGGTATCATAGGGATCAAGATGGCATAAGATGTTGCGCTCTTTAGCCAAAACAGCTGCTTCGAATACGAAATTGAGGCGGAGTTCCGCGAATCTTCCAGCCAGGATGAAGCGAGCGGAGCAACTGTCATTACTTTGCGGTAATAACGTTCGCCAACAATTAAATCTGTAGTAATGGGTAGTGCGGTTCTCTCGGTATATCTGTGAAGCTGACCCAGTAAATTTTATTAAAGTTTAGGAGGTTACGGTTATCCACAGAAATATAGTCAAGAGGCTTTTCAGTCGAAATAATTATGGACAGATGTTCTGATGTGAGAGTTAGCTTAGGTTGCCAGGGCATGCTATTTATCTGACCAATGCTAGCGGTGGTAACATCGGGTAACCTTTTACAAGGGCCCATAATTCTGGTGAGATCTTCGGTATTCATTGTGCAGAATGTCGAATCGTCTATCTGTTCAACCATCTCCATCCTCCTATGATCATTTAACAGGCAGGAATGTCAAAAATTGATATATATATTTCGAACTCCACTTCGCCTTACCTGATAGCTATACCTTGATATATAAGTAAAGTATACCGGCGTGGTATGTCAGTAAAACGATGAAAGACGATCTGAGCAGCTGTTTAACTTGGTTTTTTGGACCGCAGCTGTCCATACGCGTTCCGGGCTCATGAATGCAATGATCAAAATGCCTACTAGGTGTGCTTTTTTGGCTACTCGAGTGGAGTGGAGGCGCAGTTCGCGAACTTGCTATAGACTGCACAGCCGCAGAGGCTAATGCCGCAGTAGTGTGTTCACAGTATGGGGTCCCTGGGGCAGGGCTTAATATGGGTCCTTCCATTACATGTTTTGCACCTAACCGCGGTGGATTATGAATGGAGCATTTAGCGCAAGCGCAGCGGAAAATTCCTCCGGACCCGAGTTGGACTCAGTGCCAGCACGAGTCAAGAGGGTGCCGGTGTGCTGCTGCCGAGTAAATTGTTATAATAGTTATGTTCGCCTAACCGTTACTTGTTGCATTCGCAATAAAATAGAAACTCCATGATCCATAAATCGGAATATTTCAGAATTTCGGTAACCATATATTTATATATATTTACATATATATATATATATGTGTATATATATAAACCACATAAATATGGATCCGATATATAATAGGTAGTTAGTTTCAGATTTTGGTGAAATCGTCGCCTTGACGATTAGCATCAATTATCTAGTTAAGGGAAAAATATGCCTGGGTTTATATAATTTTTTTTTTATTTATTTTTTTATTTTTTATTTTTATTTTTTTAATTGTTGTTCCCCTCTATCAAATGGTTGGCAATCTGAAGTTATATTCTTTCAACATTAATTCGTATGTCAATTAAAATTGGACCGACTTAAATGTGGGCTTTTATCGCTAAGCTTTAACGCTGGCTTGCCTATAATACATAATATATAGAATATAGGTAGCTAATCAGTTCATGCTCTTATAATTGCAACGTTATGACCCAATTCGACCAAAGAATTTTTATTTATTTCCACCAGGTAGAAGTTATTTTCATCTCAACTAAATTGATTGGTTTTTATTTTTACGGCTGATCACAATTTGCATTAAACATTCGTTCCTCTAACTACACTGGAAAATGAGTTTATTCTTTTAATACTCACGTTACTTTTAATAGAAAACTCCTCCCGTGGTTGTTGTTTTGGCCCAATATGTATTATTATTATATTCTTTGTTTCAACAGGTAGTATATTGAGTGTATATAATTAAAATATAAAGAAGTACTAAGTTCGGCTACAATTGAATATTTTATGATCTTGAAATTTGAAATTGCACGGAAAGACGGGAACGGTCACCCCGATTTTAACTCCCCGCAACCTGATCATTTACATATCGTTAGGTGAAGAAAACTATTATAATCTGTGTAACAAGTGCTAGAGTATAAAGAGAAAGGAGTTCTCGATTTTTCGACAAGCTAAACCTAGAATTTACTCAATGGTATAATATTAATTGAAGGGTTCCGCGTATATTATTATTAGTGATAGCTTGAACTTTCGTTAATTGAAAGAATGAAGAAAATAGAAAATAACTTGTTATCTCTTATATAAGCCATGATCACTATCAATAACATAAAGAAGTGCTAGGTTTTGGCGAAATGAAAAACTATTTACACCCGAATTTACTTTAGAGTAGAAAACTTCTACATATCTTGTCCTATATAACTCATGGAGAAAATTTCTAAAACATTTTAGTGTTTCCGTAAGTAGCGACTGTTTAGGATCTGAAGTATTTGTTATTGCTGTATATTCTATGAGTTTCACTAAAATCTTTAATTCGCAGATTTTCAGAAAACATAAAGCAAAATACATTGTAAGGTTCATAACGATTAAATCCGTTGAAGAAGGAAAAAGCAGCACTGATCTATACATTTGTGATTAATATGCACATAAATGATAACAACCAATTATTGCTGTTGTTGCTGCGGCAATAAACAAGGCTGTTAAAGTGACGTAAAGCACGCACTGCATTTTAAAGTCAAGTGGACCAACAACTGGGTCCCCTCCTCCACATGCAGACGCAGCAGCCACATAATATTCGCGTGTCCAAGTGTATGTCTGTAAGTACGTATTTGCCGGTCTGTGCGCTAGTTGGCTATTTGCAGATTATGTCTTATGCTCCTATAGGTGCATTTTGTTGGCCATGCGAAGGCAGCAACGTCTGCGGCGTGAAGCGTGAGGCTGGAAAAACAAGTTGCCGAGCATTGCGGTATGTATGTTTGTAGCGGATTTTGATATGATTTTCCGTGGAAATAGTTATCTCACTAATGTGGCGTGTAAACGATGAATACGCCAACTCCACTGACCGCCTTACACTAAACAATCACTAGGTATACATATCTGTGGAACACACGATGGCCAGTGGACTCATTAAAAGGCACAAATGTAGAAATGTAACAAACGCATGAAATATGTGCCACAGCAACTGATCGTATGTACATATGTAGCTCGATGCGCGACTAAGCGCATTCACATTTGCCACATTTGCCACATTAACTGGACACTCATGCAACACTTTCCATTTTAATTGAAAATTTTTATAATTTTATACGAATAAGAGCAAATACATACATACACATATGGGCCAGACTTGTCACATATTTGATGGGGCGTCGCGCATTGCGTGCACCCATTTTTGGCAGACGATTGTCTAATAGCTTTCAGCTAAATGATTTGTCGCCTATAAAACTGCCAAGCAGTCAACGGATGAATCACAGTGATCTGAAGTGATCAAAGCGAACTGGTACTAGTATCATACAGTTGGTCAATAGGCAATTAAATAAATTCGATATTTTTGTGAAGTTAACGGTGTCCTGCTGTGCACTATCCATTAACTAAATAAATCATCAACCCACGCACGTCCGAAGCTCTTACACTTACTACAAGCAACATGTTCAAATCGGTAAGTTACCACATGCAAGCCTGTTTAAAAGCACAGTAACTCATTGCATTTGACGTCCATTTGAATATTCCACAGTTGGTTCTCAGCTTGGCTCTGTTCGCTTGTGTACACAATGCGCTTGCAGGATTTCTCGGTGGCTATGGCTTGGGCCACGACTATGGTCACTATGGAGGACATGGACTCTACGCCGGCTACGGCGGCTATGGCCACTATGGTGGTTATGGTGGTTATGGCCACTATGATCACGGCTATGCGGCACCCATCATTACCAAGACGATCGCAGCAGCGCCGGTGATTACGAAAATTCAGGCCGCACCCATCATCACGAAAACCATAGCAGCGCCAATTGTGACAAAGACCATCGCCGCCGCGCCTATATCAATTGGACACGGCTATGGTTACGGGCATGGTTATGGCTACGGACATGGCTATGGCTTGGGACATGGCTTGTATGGTGGTCATGGTTTCTACGGAGGGCATGGATACTACGGAGGACATGGTTATGGCTATGGACATGGCTGGTAAATGCAAAGTAGCATGTTGTTGTGTGGTTTAAGTAAGCAAGTAAACGAAATTAACTGTACTGTGCTGGTTTGCCTAAGGGGTATTCACTGTGTAGTACGCATTAATGGCATATATACATATACTATATGTATGCTGTTAAGACGTGGCGTTGGTGGCCAAGCCTCATTTATTATACACTTATATTGTAATCGGAGCAGCACTAATATAAAAAGACTGCAAAATCTTGTATGTGTTTGTACTTAATTATCACTTTATTGCATATTCTAGTGTGTGTACATTTATTGTTGTATTGATTACTATTAATACTTGTCTATGTAATGCAAATGTCAAATGCCAAAAACCAAAATAAAATATGAATTATTATTCACCCAAAGTCACGTGAGAATTATATGTGAACCGAAAGTGTTTCTTTTCTTGAGAAAATAGTTGTTGTATTACCAACTCATACAAAAGTACTTCAACATACATCAGTTTACATTTGTGTTCCATACAGAAAAAATACATTTAATGCTTACCAATTCGGTTGAAAGAATGACAATTCCACAAATTTTAATTTATCAACTTTATTTTTCACTCAAAAAATTAATGAATGCCTTTAGCTTTTTCGGCATATATGAAGCTAAACACCGCTCACCACTTTGCTCGTCTTGTTTGAGATCTGCTCTCTGCTCGAGTTAGAATATCGACGTCTCATTAACGTTATATAGTCTCCTTCTCAATTGCTTCTTCAATATATAGTCGTGCCAATTATACATGAATACCAGTTGTTTCTGCGATACATTGGTCAAGTGCCAGTAAGTACCATGAACCACTTCTATGACGAAATCCGTTTTAATAGCAACCAGAAACATAATTAAAATCGTCGAAGCTAACTATAAAGGAAGTGTGCTAAATTGAAAATCTCATTCGCGTATATACAGACGACAGACGAAAAATCGACAGGCAGACGGACACGAATAAATCGCCTCAGTTCGTCACGCTTACCCTTTATAGGGTCTCCGTGGTTTTTTATTGGGTGTTAAAAGCTACTTAATATAATAAGATTAATCTGGTACTTAACAGTGGACTTCACCCAGCTCCGTAGATGTGACCTCCACCTTTCTCTGGGATTCAGTAGAAGTGGTCCTCATCGACCACTCGGAGAACGACGAAAAATCATAGGGCTTAACCAAGTTCAAATGTTAACCAATACGATGCCATATAGTAGAAATAAGATGTCAATCTGGACAATCAGTGATTGCCATAACTAAGAACAAAATTAAGATATAAAACTGTAATGTAATGGCACAAGGGATAGCAATAGCAAGGATCATCTGCGGGTAAAATTATTTGAAAAAATGGGCGTGGTCCCGCGCTCTAATAGGTTAAATGTACATATATCTTAGACCACCAGAACTACAAAATTTTATAAGAGCTATAACTGAAATTTTAAAAATGGATGAAATAGGATGATACCCCGGTCCCTTTCCCATATAACGGTCAAGCATTTATTAGATGCTTGATAAATCAGTAACTAAATGCGTCAGAGACATTAAATTTATATGAGATGTCTTTATAGGAGTCAGTGTAAAAATTGGACCATGCGCGTGGCACCGCCTTCTTTTAAGTAAAATCGCATATCTCAGGGCTTGCTCTTCCGATTTAAACCAAATTCGGAACGCAACATTCTTTTGACATTCCTATGTTACAGTGTGAAAATCCCACCCATTTCCCATATAGCATACATATGTACAAAACCTTGCTCGAACAAGGCTTTTAGCGCATGCCATCTTATGAGCATAGTTTCTTTAAATCCAACAAAAATTGTCTAGCCCCTAGGTACCAAACATGTGGACCTTGGTACCAATAGTTGACTATTGATCAAAATGTCGGTCAATGTGAGATATATAATTGAAATTTAGGGATAATACTTTTGTGAGAATGGTATGTCTGTATGTCAAAAATGGGTTGAATCGGACAAATACATCTCTTGGCCCACATTTACTTAATATAAAGATTTTCGAACTTCGCGGTGACATGTCGGCCAATATGTGCGTTATCCCAATGTAAATAAATGAGCATATTTTACTCATAACAGTTTATTTTTGTATCTTAAACAGATAAAACGAAACTTGGCTTTGCGTCTATATAACTAATATCAGGATTTTCGAACATCCGGCTGCCTTTACGGTACAAGGTGCTTTCCAAAGTAAACAGGAATTTTTAAATCCATCCTCCATCTGGTGTCGAATGGTGCGTTAGAATCTGCTATTTTTATCGATTACCCAGTGAGAATAACATTTCATTGATTGGAAGTGAAGATATTGCAATTTAAGTGTCGGTATGTTTGTGTTATCGGCGCGAAAATGAGCTTCGAACAAAGAGACAACAATAAATTTTGTTTTAAAATTGGTAAAACTTTAACCGAAACATTTCAATTGATGGAACAAGTTTATGGCGATGATTGCCTATGCCGTAGCAAAGTGCACGAATGGTTTCGTGGGCCAATCAATATCCGTCATCACCGGAAATTCCATCGAAACTGTGAGTGAATTCATCAAAAATCGGCCGAAATCATCATTGAAATTCATAAAAATGGGATTAAACATCTCCAAAATATCGATTTATCACATTTTGACCGACCATTTGAGCTTACGAAAAGTGTGTGCACGGTTTGTTCCGCACAAATTGACTGACGACCGAAACTTGCTCAGAATTCAACAATCGAAGGACGATTATTTGACCAAAATGCACATTTTAACCATTAACCACTCCCCGTATTCACCTGACATGGCACCGTGCGGCTTCTTCTTTTTCCGGCGGCCAACCCGCCATCGAGCTAAAACACTCGTTCGGACTATGCAAAATGCTTTATTGGAGCAATAAAATAAATTGATTTTGCCGAAAAAAACATTTTTTTTTTTTTTGAGTCCTGTTTACTTTGGAACATACCTTGTATCACTTTAACCAATGTTAATTATCGTATCTATATTGTTAGAACATTTTTTTCACTAACACAATGCTTTTTTAAATTTCGGTTCATTTGAAAAAATGTTTTCGGAACTTTAGAGTTAAAAATAATTGCAAGGATATTAGCAATCAAGAACATTTTCAGTGTCATATGATGATCAAATCAATATCGATAAGGGACTTTATCCTAATCATTAGCAAAATAAAAATCTTTAATATATACACTAGGCATTTTAATATTTTTTTGTTTATTTTCAGCGGCAGAAATTTATACACAAACGATTTCAATGCGTCTCTCAGCACAGAAATAAGAAAAGAAGAAAATTACAACGATCTACATATATAACATATTTACATTTACAAAACGACCCTTTGCAGTAACATAGGAAATCCAGTTCCTCTCGCCTTTCTTCCATTCGTTAACAGCGCAGATTTACCAGCCATGACCCAAACCAATACCATGACCCAAGCCAACACCATGACCCAAGCCAATACCATGGCCCAAGCCAATACCATGACCCAAACCAATACCACTACCCAAGCCAATACCATGACCTAAACCATAACCCAAGGATGGAGCAGCAATCGAGGCGGTCGAGATAAGGGGTGCAGATGCTATTTTTGTTATTGCTGGAGCGGCATACGAGATGGCTGGTGCATGCGAAATGGCTGGAGCTAATGAGATGGCCGGAGCAGCAGCGATCTTGGTAATGGTCGGAGCGGCATAGGAAATTGATGGAGCAGCAAGTGCAGCATGGCCATATGAAATGGCTGGAGCGGAATGGAGGCCATCCAAAAGAGCGCCACCATGCGCACCACTCAAGTATCCTGGCGCAGCTACGGCGCTACCGACCAAAGCCAGAGCGACAATGACAACCTGTAAAGGATGTCGAAAAGAACAAACACATATGGATTTATGTAGATTTCACATATTTTCAAATAGACACAATATTCCGATGATGTCTGAACTCGCGGCGAGTACTCACGTATTTGAACATGTTTGCTGATTTAAAGTGTTTTATATGCGATTTCTCGACGAGCAAATTCGATGGCAACGTGCGCACAAAACGGATCGTAGCTTAAGAACGCGAAAAACAGTTTGATTCGGTGCTAGCGTTGAGCAAACGCTTTTATACCGTTCAAACAAATCTAATTTTTCAATAGAAATACACCGAAACTCAACTCTGCCGTTTAATCGCTAAGCACATTTAAATTGGGCGGGAAACGAAGTGGCAGCTGTAGTGTTGCAGCAATTGAGCGACACACAGCGAACGCATATCTGAGCCGAAATTAAAGCCTAAGCTGCTGTTGAAGCTGACGCTGGATGTGGACGGACGACAAGCGCCTTTACATATTTTTCAGTCCAAGTCAAAGTGGTCCACAGCCGCCTGACATGCCTAGCAAACATACACACACACACACCTATATGTATTTCCTTACTGTTAGTGTTGTGAAAACAGTGTGACACAGTGGCCGGGGTTGAGCCACATGTGAGGCAACGGCCTGTCGACGGCGTCATTTCGGCTCACTGTCATTCTGCCCCAGTCGTCGGCGCACAGCCTACGGTATTTGATAGCATTGCGCCTAACAGTGGCAGCCGGGAGTAATGGCGGACTCCTTCAATGTGTTGTTGCTGTTGTGACATGGAAAGCTGTTATTTTTCAATTTCATAATGTTCCTCTTTGTCCACGGCGACAGGTTGCAGGCGACTTTATGAACCGGCTACACCAAAAAGCGTCCACTGACGCTCAAAAAAGAGGTTTATGTAGCTAGGCAATTAACCGGTCCTCAAGTGAGAATTGCCAACTGATTGGCTGCATTAAAAGTATGAGTAAAATTTTTGTGAAAATATGACTCATGTGATCGATTTGTCGTGTAATCAATAATGTTCGATTTCAACGATTTCGTATGCCTTTGTTTGTGCGTTGCTGTGTGCACTTTAAATCAGTGAAAGGATTGCAAATAGTATTGTTGTTTGTTATTCGAAAGTACCACTGAATTAGCTTGTTATGATTTCCTCCATGTAATTATACAATTCTATTAACCACCACCAACCTTTCTCCAAAGTATCCGTTAAGAAACTCACTGCCCCTCTCCTGCAACTGTTTCTACTCACCAACATTTCTATTGCCGGTATGTGAGCGGAGTTAGGTTTGAAAGGAAACCCATATTATCTGGGCCTCATATCCCATTTTGTGCTCATACATATTCTAACGATATCTAAAGCACTATGTGCAAAATAGCAATAAGTGGAGTGGACATCGTGATGAGCGCCGCTCGTTGACGTCTTTCGAGTTTCCTTGCAAGTGTGATTTGCTCTAAGATCCTTCACCACTCAAAGACCTCATAGACGTATTGAGCTTTACTTGGTGTCGTAGAGCCAGAGGACTGTGGCCTCTATTAATTTCGAAAGCGGTTGCTTTTCGCTGATTACCGTGAAGATACAATAAAGATAGAACTTGAGTTGCAAAAAGAGCTTACTAGTGGCGGAAAGTGTTCTTCATATATCTGTGTCTGAAAAAGTACTTTCCAATATGTGTAGTTTTATCGCGGAGGCTGCTAGTGTTTCAAATTATTATACAGTGTGTGATATTTTTGCTGAGCTTCCTGGCAAATATTCTGAAGAACAAACATTCAAATCTACAAAAGATCGTTCAAGCTGTCTGAAAATGAGCTCCGATTTTCATTTTCATTGTAAGATAGACAGTAGCAGCTGTAATGAAGAAGACGTCCCAGTACCACTATCGGTGTCGGTTTCTTAGAAAGTGCAAAAGCAACTGCGGTCACATTCAACAACAACGCTGTGAAAGTATCTATATAAAAGTATCTATAATTTTCAACGGTCTTCACAAATAAGAGGCTTAGGGTATACTGGCGGGCTACCAAGCTATACATAGACCTATCTATCCTTTGTAATGCCTTACATAAATCTGATCGACTTTTGTAATGATAGTTGAAAGTTCAGTTCAAGCTGAAGTTTACGCTTTTTCCAGTTCAAAAGAGTCGTCATGACTACATCTCATACTTGATCTAGTTCCTGGAACTACTCAGGTGATAAATATCTCAGGCGAGTACTGAATTGAATAAATTTTAGATGCTGATAAATTACTCTGCGAAGGTAAAAGGTTCCACATAGACCAGCACATTCAAGTTAAATTCATTACAAACACAAACATACATATATAAATAAGTATTTTAAGTGTTTTTAGGTTCTGCACATACATAGTCATCAATAGCGCCTCGTATTAAGCCCGCTTAAGGGGCAAAATAAATTGACCTCTTGCCCGAAGTTTTATGTGTGAACAACGCATGTTTTGTACATCTTGTAATGCTACTAGTCTAATTAGTTTTTATTAAACTTGTTGCACAGACAGCGATTATTGCAACAAACACAGTGCACTCCTTTATAATGAGCTTTGACACACCCTAATGGGCGGCAACTTTAACGTCGTCTACGGCTGCAGTCAAACATGCCCAGAGATCAGGGTGCATGAATGAAGAAGTCTGGCGGTATGTTGCACTAAAGGAGTGATGGTGGCAACTACTGCATGCGCAGCGCATTGCAACAATTGCCGCCATCGCTGCTGCCACATTTGCCCCGGACGTAGTGCGTGGTGCAAATTTAATGTAATTTCGGCAAAGAGCTGACATCATAGCTTGCTAAATGCAATGCAATCCAATGACTTTTATGCAATCAGCTGCAATACATGCGCCGAGTAATAGTTCAATTTGATCGGCTGTAAAAGATTATAGCTCCGTTCACACGCACATACAATGGCTCATAGTTACTGCAGCATGTAGAAACATAGCTAATGATTGTCTTTGTAAGCTATTATACTTGCATATTGCAATTTACATGCACATACATACTGGTACATATGTATATTCGAATGTGATGCCTGCTAACTGCCTTGCAATTCATTTTTACCAGTGGAAAAAAAGACTGCCTTCATTTTAATGTATTCCAATTCCTATTGAGCGATGCTATTATTATTAACGAGCAAACGTTTAAGTGCGTTCTTAAAACTGTGAGGCAGGTGTGTCGTACGAGACAAGAAAGAATCAACGACAAGACACTTTACATACACAAAGATATCTGTGCATAAATAATGCAAATGCTTGATTTGCTATTAAACTTGATATTTTAATTAATATTATACAATTTATTTGATTTGCTGTACGCAACTCCATCTCATAAAATCTCATTTTTGGCTGAATGGATTCGTCAATAAGCAAGATATGCAGGCTTCGTCAATATGCAGTATGCATATGCCAGTGGCGTCTTTGAACCGTACTTTTTCTATGATGATCAAGACCGGCACATTACTGTGAATGTGTATCTCTACGGCTCAATGATAATCGAATATTTTGGGCCCGAATTGGTAGATATGGACTTGGACATAAGTAGATCCAACACCTCCTACACAGTAAATTCGATTTATTGAAAATCAAGTTTGTTGAAAGCTTCATCTCACCAAGTCACTTGGCCGCTTCGCTCCTGCGATTTGACACCGTTAGACTATTTCCTGTGAGATTAAGTCAAGTCTATGGTCTATGCCAACAAGCCTGCGATAATTGATAAACTTTGTACGAATATCGAACGTGAAATTGCAACGGTATCGGCCGATTTATGCTTGAAAACCGCCGAAATTTGGGTTCAGCGTCTGTACTTCTGAAAGCGTAACCATGCTGGCCATGCGAGTTCTATACTATACTTTCACAGGAATAAAGAATTTTATTGCTATCCCAAACCTTTTCTGTTTTATTAAAAAAAAAATCTTTTATAACGCTCTTATTGAAAACCCTGTCAAATATTGGATCTATAACTATTTTTGAATTTTTTTATTTGATCGTTTATTGAAAAAAAAAAAAATCATGTACAATACTATTATTCGGAGTATTGCCCATCTAAAGCAATATTATTTCCCATTTTTCTGGAAATTTGTGGATTCCATTTAAAATGAGCGGCACCGCCTGGTGGTCCGAAATTAATCAACCCGCATTGTCTTTATGATTTTTTAGATTTAGAGTAATCGCAATTGATCCATTCTTCATCAGCAGTCTTCTTTTCGTAAAGTTCAAGCAGCATTTCTGACGCAAAATCGATTTAGATGCGGCTTCCATTCATAAGAACCTTCTCTTATTCTCAATCGAACTCAAACTTCTGAATTAACAAGTAAAGAAGGGTTAAGTTCAGGGGCGACCGAACACTTTATACTCTTGTAATTTGCAAGAATTAAAGCCAAGGATATACCTTAAGATGTAAAACGTCAACCAGAGGAAAGAAATTTTATATATACATACACTCTATATAATTCATATACTGACCGACTAATTCCATAAAAGATTTGTTAGAAAAATGAAAGTCATTATGTGTAGTATATGGGAGTTGAGTTAGTATCGAACTGCTATTATCCATTAACTATTATGATTAAAATACCTCACATACAATCATCAATCATATGGAGCAAAGTCAGCTAGATGTTCGAATATCCTGGTAACGATTATAAAGGGGATAGTTTAAGCTTTCGCGCAAATTTATATATTTTAGGCACAAACTTACATTGTCATCATTAAAAGACACTCTCCCAATTTCATTGAGATAACTGAAATATTGGCTGATATATCCAGCATGAAGTAACCTGGAAGTTCGAAAAAAAGGCTCAGGGACCTATTTTCCCTATTCGACCAAATTTTGATCATTGTCAGAAAAGGATTATCCTTGAATTGCAATTATATATCTCACACATTTACCAATATTTTCGGTCAAAAATTAAGTACAGACAATGCGGCCCACATATTCGGTACCTAGGGTCGTGAACAATTTTGGTTGGATTATTACACTTTTTGGTCAAAAGATGCCATACTTTAAAGGTATTATTACTGCAAAATGTTATTCAGTTGTATTAGCAACTTGTTGATTTGTGTAATGGAAGGTGAAAGAATGAAATGGAATTTTAAATTTCTTATATGGGAAGTGGTTGTAGTCTGATTTTGCCTATTTTTACACTGTGATATAGGAATGTTAGTCGAAATCGTTTGGTCTGGTCCCGTGGCGGTGCCACGTATTTCAACATTTCTC